GTGAATCCTCTCACTCTCCACACCTCTGGTCTATACCCCAGTTTTTTGTACACATAAATAAATCTTTAAAAAGAAAAAATACTAAATTGAATTCACCAGTGAGAACATCTGGGTCTGCACATGTCTCTTGGAAGATTTTTAATTACCAATTCAATTTCTTTAATAGTTGTAGAAAAGTTCAGATTATCTATTCATCCTTACTGACTTATTTAATTGTGATGTCTGAGTAATTGCTTTATTTTAATATAAAAATTTTGAATCCATATGTGTAGTTACATATATTATTCTATTATCTTTTTAATGTCTCTGGGGTTTGTAGTTATATTTCCTCCTTCATTTCTGCAGGATTTTGTCAGTTTGACAGAAGTTTATTGATTTTATCAATATTTTCAAATAACTAGATTTTTATTTTCTCTTATTTTCCCATTTTCTGTTTTATTGACTTCTGTTTTATATATTTATTATTTCCTTCCTTCTGCTGCTCATCTTTTTTGGATTTCTTAAGGATTAAGCTTGGATTTGTTGAGTTGAGCGCTTCTTTCTAATGTAAGCTTTTACTACTATAAACTTTCTTTTTAGAACTATGTTAACTGCATCACATAAATTTTGACATGGCTTAATTTTATGTTTGTTCAATTCAAAATATTTTCTAATTTCCCTTGAGACTTCTTCTTTGGCCAATTATTTAGAAAAATGTTGTTCAGTTTCTAAGTATCTGAAAATTGTTCTGTTATCTTTGTTTATGGCTTAATTCCATTATAGTCTATGCTTTGTTTGATTTCAGTTATTTTACTTTTGCCAAGATTTGTTTTATGACCTAGTTTATCTTGGTGGGTGAGTGTTCCATGTGTACTCTGAAAGTACATATAATCTGCTATTGTTTAGAGTGCTATTCTATAAATGTCAACTAGATACAGGTAGTTGATGGTATTTTTTAGTTCACTTACGTCTTGACTTATTTTCTACTAGTTCTACTTATTACTGAAAGAGAAATTGAATATTCCAACTATATTTGTGGATTTCCTTATTTCTTGTTACATATATTTTGAAGCTCTAGTTTAGGCAATTGCATAATTAGCATTGTTATGTCTTCTTGGTTAATTGACCTTTTTGTCATTATGAAATGTACTCCTTTATCTGTGGAAATTTTCTCTAAGTTTACACAGTCTGATATTAATGGAGACACTCTAGTCTTTTTATTTTTTTTTTAAAGATTTATTCATTTATTTATACAAGCACTGGGTACAGTCAGAAGCGCGGGAGGGTGAGAGAATCCACCAGAGCCAGAACAGGAGCAGAACAGGCAGACTGACGAAGTACACTGCTGAGGGGAGCAACGGGCGGCAGGAGAGGTCTGTGCACCATGTGGGGACCCTCGCCCAGTGGCCGGGGATCAAACCAGCGCTGCAGAGGCTGCGGGCAGCTTTGCAACTCATCGCTCAACCGCCGCGCCACCAGGAAGGCCCACTCTAGCCTTTTTTTGATTCATGTTTGTGTGGCATATTTCTTTCCATTCTTTTATTTTTATCTATACCATCGTATTTTAAATTAAAGCATATAGTGAGGTCATAACACTTTTATTCTACAAGTCTCTGTCTTTTAACTAGTACGTTTAGACCATTTATTTTAAATGTAATGAGTAATTTTTTAGATTTAGGGGCTACCACTTCATTATTAGTTTTCTGCTTGCTTCCTCTCTCTTTCATCCTTATGTTTCCCTTTTCCTGCCTTTTAAAAAATTGTTTGATTATTTTTAGTAATCAGTCCTTTAATTCTTTATTATTTGAGTCTCTCTCTTTGTATAGTTTTTACTAACTCATCTAGGGATAGCAATATAAATACTTAACTTTTTATAGTCTACTTAAAAATCATTATTTTGTTACTTATATTTAATGCTGAATCTTTACCACCATATTGGTGCCTTTACACACCCTTCTTATTCTTCTGAAAATATATATTATATGCAGACACTGAAGACCCCATCAGTCATTATTATAATTTTGACTTTCAACTGTTAAACATAATTTAAATAACTCAATGAGAAAAAATATTCCATTTACCCTACTATTTACTATTTCTATTGCTTTTCTTCATTGCTGATGTCCTAAGTTTCCCCCAGAGTTGTTATCCTCCTGTCTAATGACCTCCCTTAAGCAGTTATGTTAGAGCATATCTGCTGGCAACAAATTCCCTCACTTTTTCTTAATCGAAGAATGTCCTTATTTTACCTTCTTACTGGGGGATATTTTCACTGAATATAGAATTCTAGACTGACAGTTCTTTTTTAAAAGTTCTTTGAAGATGTATATACACATCCCTTCTTGCTCCCATGGTTTTTTTTTTTTTTTTCCCCCAAACTTTTTTTTTTTTTAAAGATTTATTTATTTATTTATACAAGCACTGGGTACAGTCAGAAGCATGGGAGGGTGAGAGAATTCACCAGAGCCAGAGCGGGGAGCAGAACAGACAGACTGACAAAATACACTGCTGAGGGGAGCAGCGGGCACAGCAGGAGAGGTCTGTGTGCCATGCGGGACCCTCACCAGTGGCCTGGGATTGAACCGGCACTGCAGAGGCTGAGGGCAGCTTCGCAGCCCAACGCTCAACCGCTGTGCCACCAAGGGAGGCCTGCTCCCATGGTTTTTAATAGGAAATTCACATTCATTTGAATTGCTGTTCCCCTATAGGTAAAAATTTTGCTTAGTGTGGGATCAGCCAATGCCATATTAATCATATTTGGGAAGCACCCGTTTTTTGTTTTTTTTTAAAGATGTACTTATTTATTTATACAAGAGCTGGGGTACAGGCCAGATGCACAGGAGGGAGGGTGAGAGGACTCACCAGAGACAGAGAGAGGGGAACAGAACAGGCAGATGATGAAATACACTGCTGAGGGGAGCAGCGGGCACAACAGGAGAGGTCTGCTGCGCCATGTGGGACCCTTGCTGGCCAGCCGGTATCCAACTGGCGCTGCAGAGGCTGCAGACAGCTTCACAGCTCTGCGCTCAACCGCTGCGCCACCAGAGGAGGCCCAGCACCCATGTTTTTATCTTCATATATCTTAAATCTAATGCAGAGCCTAAACCCTTCCTTCCCCCAATTCACTGTCTTAGTCAGGTGCTGGTGAAAATGGTCAGACATTCTTCTCTGTTTAGTAAACTATCTTTGGGAAAGAAAGGAGTAAATATAGATTTTTGTGCTAAGTCCCAGACACAATTTCACAACCACATCATCACCCAGAGGCAGATTCCGTCTCATTGAGCACACCGTGTCATACCCCCACCCTCTCTCCACCATTCTTCCTATCACTGAGTGATATTTGAACAGTGACATTATTAGAAAAGAGAATAAACTTACACACCTCTTTTCTATAGTTAGAAATTATTTGACAGGTTAAGAGTTAGCCCTAGGCCTTATTCTTTGTCTTGAATTATAGATGAAGTTCCCAGACTCTTTCAGGTTGACATAAAACAACAACAACCTGTTTTAGGTGGGCTTTTTTTTTTTTTTTTTTTTTTATGATGAGCCAAGACAAGTCTGCAGGCAACTGTACAAATAGGGCAGTGTCAGTGTTAGAAGGCATGTCCAGACATGAGAGCTGCTGGCAGTGACAGCAGGAGAAAGTTTAACAGACGCTTATAAAATAGAAAAGAGCAGAAAAACAGGTTGTAAGAGTTCAAAGGCCAATTAAAGAGGGCATTTCATCTCATCCCTTATCTGTTTTTCTCAGGGATATAGAACTAGTTTTTCCTCTGTGGGTCATGTACTTGCCCTGAGACACAGGTGGAGTGTGAGGGGACCGAGAGATGTCAGTGATTGTCTCCAGCAGTGCTTGTCCCGTGGCCTAACCTTGGATTGGGCTACTGCAGTTCCTTCTTTAGAGATGTCAGAACACTCGTGCCAACACCCATCTTTTTCCAAAGTACAGTGTGTGAAGTGTTGTAGAGCAACCCCGATACAAAACGGGGTGCCTGACTGTGGGTCCTCACCCACGCGCTTAAAAGGACTTATCAATGCTCTACTGCAGGCACATGCGAAAGGTTAATAAAAGGTTTATTTACAAGGGAAGGGGAAATGAGGAAATGTACAGCTCAGGAAGAAAAGTGGGAGACAAAGTTTTAAATGAGTCCTACCCGATCCGCCCATCAGGAATCCCAAAATGGCGCTCTCAGAGTTGGCCGCCAGCCAGGAGTGGTGAAGCCAGGAGGCGAGCGATCGCGAGCCAGAGAGAGCGCCCAAGGCCCACGTGTTTGGTTTTTATATCCAACCTGGCTGCCCAACTCCACCCTCAGGTCCCAGCCACCCTCCCTTTGGTGGTGATGGGATTTATCTTCCCAATGTCTTGATGGCTTTAGTCTGGAGTGGGGGTGGGGTCCACAAAGCCTGTATGGGATTAGCTCAGGCCATCCTTTCCCCCTAACAGAAGGACACATTCCTTTCCCCTAAAATATGTATTAAACATTATTAAATGCAAGGGACTACCATGGCTAAATTATCATGTTGAAAATGACTGGTGAATATTGGTGTTAGGCAACTTCTTTGAACTTGTATAAAACTCAAATTCTGCGTTAAATTCTGAAAGCAACTCCAGGGGTAGAAGCGAAAATGCTCGTAGTCCACTGATGCAAGAGGACACCACTATTGTCGGTTGGGATTTCTCTTGAGTTCTTACCTAAGGATGGGGCTTTGGGTAGTATTTATGCGGTTGAGGAAGAAAGAGAAATATTTTAAAAATGTAAATTGATTCTGATTGGTTGCTTTCTGCTAGATCATAATATAACTTGAATTTGTGTCTAAAACTCTAACAGAACTGAACACCCCCCTTTTCTGAATGTTGTCTGTCTAATCATAAGCCAGGTATTTTATTTCCATTTTCCATGGACTACTTTCAGCTTAGGAATTCAAATCACTTTGAGGACAGTGAACATTTTTTAGACCTGCACTCTGAAATACAACTTGTCAATTTATGAAAAAACACTTTTTCCCATTTGGGCCTGATGTGTGGTTTTATATCCATTTATTTGCATAAACAGAGAACTTTGGCCAGAAAGGTCATATAGTTTAGTCTAGATAGCTGAACCCAAGCCTAGGCAAAGGGACTGGCCATGGATGTTTGGGGGAACCAACCACAGGGGACTGAGTAGGAGAACCTCCCGTAGGACAATGCGCAGGTCTGCCGTCCTGCATCTTCAGCCAGAGAGCTGAGGCTCCAGGTCCCCTGGGAGAGTCAGGAGCTTCAAGCAAAGGAAGACTTTGAGGCCTGTAGTACCTAGAGGCAAGGGATGACTTTCAGTTCACTGAATTCCAGACCTATTTAGTATCTGAAGTAAATGCAAAATACAAGATAATGATTTCTTAAAACATCTAAGTCTTTAATTACTACTGTTTATTTTTGCCTTACAGTTGCTTTAAGTTTCCTTAACCTGGGCTCTACTATTTTGCTGAGTCATCGCTCCTAAATTAACAGGGTAAAGTAGCATGCAGTTTGGGCTTCTTTACAGCAAGTATTATCACACATAACTTCTGTTCCAAAGTGAATGATTTGCAGGCACATTTTTTCATTACATGCACATAGTGAATATTCGGATGACATTTTCAGACACCAAAAATACTTTAAATTATAATGTTAGTGAATGATAAAGTAACAGCTCACCAGTCATCAAAATCACTCATATTCAAGAAGAGTCTGCCTGGGTGGGGAAGATGGAACCCAGTGTTTCCACCTAAAATGGTGCCACTGTTGTGATACTGTAATATGATAGAAATTATTTATTTGGTCCTTTTTCCCAGTTCATGGAACAGAGCTCCTAATATAATGCAATAGATTAACATTTGATTTTTGTCCAAGAGACCAGCACAGAGCCTCAGTTCTCTTGCAATTTCCTGAGTGCTAGAGGTGATTGGAGCATCTTTTGTTATTCATACCAACCCCTTTCAACCACACTAAGAGTTTATGTTAATGAGGTGACTCAGAGATTTGGGGGCTGGTTGCCAGAAAAAATCTAGACAAAGACTCAAACCCTGGTTTCAAAACTCAGCTCAATTATCTATTAACCATGTGTTTTTGAACAAGTGATTTACTCTTTCTATGTCTGTTTCTGCTCATCTGTTGAATCTGGATGATAGTATCTCTTGATTCATAAGGTTGTGGTGAGTGTAAAATTCAGTAATGTACATAAAACCCTTATCTCTGATCCTAACATAGCATGTACTTAAAACAAGACTACAGTCACCATAATCACCAGGAATAGTAAGTCCTTTGAGAGCGACATTTGTGTGGGTAGCCCAGAGCCTGTCTCTACTGGGAAATGTCTAAAATGTCAACATGTTTGTGGATGTCAAGATGCCATCTCCTCCTGACGTGTGCTGGTGAGGACCCAGGTGGGGGGAGAGCGCAGTTCAGAATGGCATTAATGTTAGGGCTTCCCCAGTGGCGCAGCGGTTGAGCGCTGGGCTGCGAAGCTGTCCGCAGCCTCTGCAGCACCAGTTCGATGGCCAGCTGCCGGCGAGTGTCGCACATGGCACACAGACCTCTCCTGTCACACCCTCTGCTCCTCTCAGCATTGTTTCATCAGTCTTCCTGTTCTGTTCCTGACTGGTGAATTCTCTCACCCTCCCGTGCTTCGCTTCCGACTGTACCCAATGCTTGTATAAATAAATAAATAAATAAATCTTAAAAAAAAAATGGCACAATGTTAGAGTGTAATCCCCCTAGAAAGGGGGATATCTGCCCCATCTGAGGAAGGGTGGAGCTGAACAGCAAGGGGAAACTAAAGAGGACCTGGGAGAGAGGGCTGGAACAAAAAGACTAGGAGATATAGAGGAGGCACATGGAGCAGAGACATGTGAAGAAGAAGCTATGCTTGCTTCTTGGCCTTGGATTTGCTCTAGGGACTTGGGGGACACAGGAGACACTTGGAAGAGACGTGGCTGAGAGACTCATGGGGAGGCTGGCAGTGGCAGTCTTTATCTTGAGTTGTATTTTGATTTGGCTCTTTTCCATCCAGACTTGCCTGGCCCCTTCTGCCCCTTTCCAGTGGTTCCTCCCAGAAGGTGCCATAGACTTGTGAGCTTTTGGGCCTCAGTGGTCCCACTTTGGGCCAACCCTATTTGGGTGATTACCCACAAGGGGAGGGTAGCTTTGGATGTTTCACTTGATGACTGTATTCTTTCTTTTCTCTATTGCACACTAATTCTATTAAAGTTCCTTTCTATTGAAGGCATTATTTGCTAAGAGTGTGTTTTGTTTTTTTTGTGCTGGGTGGTAGAACCCGTTGAGAGTGTGCAGGTTTAGGGTTGTGGGGTGCCCCTCATTCTGCCTGCTAACAATAAGAGAAGAATGAAGGGGGCCTCCCTGGTGGCGCAAGTGGTTGAGCGCAGCACTGTGAACTGTCCGCAGCCTCTGCAGTGCTCGTTCAATCCCCGGCGGCCTTGGAGCAACCCACATGGTGAGCAGACCTCTCCTGTCTCGCCTGCTGCTCCCCCGTCAGCAGCATATTTCGTCATTCTGCCTGTTCTGTTCCCCACTGTTGTCCTCTCCCTCCCACACATCTGGCCTGTACCCCGGTTCTTGAATAAATAAAATAAAATCTTTAAAAAAAAAAGAGAGAAGAATGAAGGCAGGTTCTAGAGGACACAATACTGTTGGGTGTGGGCAGGCCCCTCACCAGCAGGGTGTCCAGCATCCAGAGTAGCTCCTGTGTAAGAAGCACCGAGTACTGCTGCCCGTGGAGAGCAGACACAGGCCTGCGTGCACAGCTGGGCGCCCTGTGAGCATCCTTGTGCACGTGACTGTTCCTTTACCACCAGATATTGCTGGCAAATCCTACTAGGGGCTTCCTTTAAGCTCCTGAGATGCCCAAAAGTTCCAGAATGGCCTGAGGTGACCAGAGTCAGTTGTAAGCATTGGACAAAGCACCTATGGGTGCAAAGTAGAGAATTAACTTAGGCAAAAGGAAGCAGTTATGATTTTATAAGTCTAAAATATAAGAAATGATCCCTCTCTTCTCTGTTGCCTGTTATCTTTCCTATCTGTCTCATAATAACAGGAGCTCCTTGAAGGCAGAAACTCTTTTTTTGTGTCTCCAGCACCTAGTATCTAAAAGGTGCTTAGTAGTAATGAATTATGCTAACTAGACTTACTGTGGTGATCATTTCATAATATATACTGATATTGAATGTAACCTGAAGCTAATATATTATCAGTTATGACACAATAAAAAATAAGCAAAACAGAAAATAATGAATGAATGAATGATAGAAATGTCAAGGAGGGCCTCCCCTGGTGGCGCAGGCGGTTGAGCGCAGCGCTGTGAAGCTGTCTGCAGCCTCTGCAGTGCTGGTTCGATCCCAGCCGGCCGGCAAGGGTCCCACATGGTGCGGCAGACCTCTCCTGCCGCGCCCGCTGCTCCCCTCAGCAGTGTATTTCTTCAGTCTGCCTGTTCTGTTCCCCGCTCTGTCTCTGGTGAATCCTCTCACCCTCCCGCACATCTGGCCTGTACCCCGGTTCTTGTATAAATCAATCTTTTTTTAAAAAAAGTAAGGGATATGATCTTTAAAAAAAAGAAAGAAATGTCAAGGAAAGAAATAACTCATGATATAATTAACTTTATATAATTATGTCTTTATCTTGTATTTAATAATTTACATAACACTTGTGCTTAAATGACCACAGTTGAACTTCATCCCAGACAATAGGCATTATTGTTTTTCTTGCAGATTTAGAAACCAAGACTTAGAGATCATAGTAAGGTTAGTTAGATAATAAGTGGTAGAATGATTGGGGCTCTTCTACTGGACCACATGGCCTCCTGATAATCAGCAAAGAACAGCTTTATAAATATAGATTCTTCATCCACCCACCTGCCCACCTATCCATCCACTTATTTACCAGCATAAATGAATGGGATGAGTCCAAGTTCTGCAATCATCACAGAGCTGAATTCTAATCCAAGCTTCAGGATGATCAGGGTATGCCGGTCACTTTCTCTGACCTTCAGCTGCTTTGAGGGTCAAGCCCCTTACTATGTGAACCACAGAGTAAGATGCAGGACATAGTCACGGGCAGCCTGGCCAGAGAGTTCCTGGTCTAAGGGAGGAAACACAAATGCGAATCATTGTCACAAGTGTGCGGAGTGCTGGAATGGAGGCTGGGGAATTGTATTCAGAGGGAGGGCCAGGGAAGATTCCAGAGTAATCTTAAGCCCTGTGTCTTCAGGCCAACCAAGAAAGGGAAAGAGGACTCCCAAGAGAGGAAATGCATGTTTTTAATTCACTTCTATGGCATTAAATGTTTTCATTAATGACTTTAAAAAATTGATTTCCAGTTTCCTGGAACTATTTAATAGTTTGCTCTTTGCCTTGGTGTTGTCATCACCTCTCTGTGAATCTATCTCTGGTGCGCTGGCCTCCTGTGCCACTGCCTTCAGGTGTGCGCAGGTGTACCATGGCTGCTCACCTTGGATTGGTCCTTTTTCCTTGTTGAGGTGGGCGTCTGCAAGATGCTGCAATAGGGGTGTGTGTGAGACAAGTGGGCCAGACTGGTACCTAGAGAGTTTGAGGGGTGGAAAGGTTGTGTGATATGAGGGTATGCCTGTAAAACCTTGGCAAGGAAGAGAATGTTGAGCCAGAATCTGGAAGAAAGGAGGGCCCTGGTGCACCTCAGTCAGAAAGGCTGTGGAAGGGATCCGTGGGGAGAAGAAGGGTTTTCCTGAATGTAGGCAAACATCCTTCTTTGGAATGGTCTGTGGAAGGCTAACCTCTGCTTTCCTTAGTGCCTCAGAGGCAGCCTATGCTGCCTGCTCTGTATGGCAGGGTTGGCAACCTTTGTCTGTAAAGGGTTGGGAGGGAAATATTTCAGACTTTGTGACCATCCAGGTGTCATGACTACTCAACTCTGCTGTTGCCATGTGAATGTGACCATAGGGACTCTTAAAGAAATGGATGTGAAATGGACTCTTAAAGAAATGAACTCTCTAAAAGATATAGACTCTTGAAGAAATGGTTGTGTTCCAGAGGAAGTGTACTTTAAAAACAAGCCACAAATGGTTTTGTCCCAGGAGTTTGCTAACTACTGTTCCACACTTGATGCCTCTTAGGGATCATCTGTTATGATGAACACCATTCCCTCCTGAGCCTGTCGCCGTGGCTGTCCTCCTAGCAGAAGTAGTTGCCATAAAAGCAACAAAATCAGTAACACCCAGCTGGTGCCATTTACAAAGTATTGGCACCACTTTGGGAGAAGAACTTTGTGCATCTCATTTAATCTTCTCAACAATCCAGGCCAGTGTTATTGTTGTAATTACGATATCTCTGCTGATTATGAAACATTTCAGAGGTTAAGGTCACTTGCTTAAGGCCACTGTCTAGCCTGAGGTAGCTGGAGAGTCGGCAGCACCAACAGGACCTTCACTGCTGCTCGCCACACCAGCCCCTCAGCTCTGGGCTCCCCTAGTTTTTAGTTTTAGTTTTAGTTTTTAGTTTTTATTTACTTTTCCTGTTTAATCAAAAGAATTTACTCAGCCACTTATTAGTCTGTAAAATTGGGCAAGTTAGTTCACTTTTTGGTACTTTTGTTTCCTAACAGTGAAATGGAGATACTAACAGTATTTACCTTTTAGGAAGGTTTTTGGAATAAAGTATTTAGAATGGTGCCTGGCACGTAATAAATGCTCAGAAGGAACTTGCTATTATTGTATTATTACTATTAGAACATTTGAAAAATAGAGATTATAAAAAAGAAAATAAAAAATAACTATCATTCAGAGGTAAACACTTTATATTGTTATATATAACAAATATATATAACAAATATATATTAAATATTTTAATATATTTGATATGTATATGTAGGTTATTTATCATAAAGATCACACGTTGGTTGTAGAATACATAAATTTCAAAGAAACATCAAAGAAAACCACTTTTCTTATATATTTTTGCATGAAAGTGTGTGAATATAATACAATTTTATTTCTTAGCCTTTGACTGAATATCATATCATAACATTTGGCCCTGCTGAAAAATTCTCAAGGTATTTTTTAAAATACTGTTAAGTGTCTGGAGGAGGTGAGCCCAGTATCTTCACTCTGCCTCCATTTTGCTGGACACCCACAACACTGAATTCTGGGAATTGAAAGATAGAATTACAGAAAAGATGATTGAAGTCCCATAATGATCAAAGTCCCTCATTTCCCCATCCTCAAGTCCTCTGAAGAATCTCACTGTGCCTGTGACCTAGGGTGGGGAGGGGATAGTCACTTGATTCTTGTTTAGCCCACTTTGACCTGAGGTAATCATTTCCTCACACACCCTGATCCTTCTCACCTATTTCTCCAGTGTCTGACTAGGCCAGCTTGCTGGGCCCTGTGTTGAAGAAGTTGAGTCTAGCTAATTCTTCTGTTGGACTCCCAGTTCTCAACATTATGCCCAGCATGCTGCAGGCACTCAGTGGAGGACGATTCTCCCTCTTTGTGCCTCTCTCGTGTCTCTATCTCACTCTGTCTCTGACTCTCCCCATGTTGGGGCTACTGTTTCTTCCTCATGCCTGTCCCCACATTCCTGTCATGACCATTAGGAATTTTTGGAGACCAATACACTTGAGCTGTATTTTTTAAAAATGTCCCTACCTTTGAACAGACATTGTAGAATTGGCCTAATTAGAATTACAATATGAAATTACTTAAGAGAAGACATTATAGAAACTTGAGTTAGCAAGAGGAAGTCTTCTAAGGAAAAAGCCTGCAGCCTGGCCAACCACTTTGATGGCAGCTAGTGCTGTCCTTGGAGCTGGAAAGCAACTACAGAAAAGCATTCCTGAGTGTGACCATGTGTGTGTGCCTGGCACCCTTGAGTGCCTGGTGTGTGCAGGGGACACTGGTTATCCCACACACTCCCAGGTGTGCTCCCACACAAAGGAACCAGGACCTCCTAAATGCTGTCTGTCCTAGATGGGTGGTTTTTATCTGGAGTCACTGCGATTTGGTCTTTTTAGCAATGCTGAAATAGTTACTTTAGGCCTGAACTTAAATATGACTTGAGAAGAATTCCAGGCCTGATATAAAAAAAAAAAAACAACCCAGATGCCATTAACACAGTCTTTAATGTATTTTATTTGCGCTCTAGTGATATGAGATTTTTCGAGCTACTATTGACTCTCTGGAATTATGCTTACGTGTGTTAAGAAAGGTATGTAAGCTCGCACACAGGTATTGGCCACCAGAAAAAGATGCCGCTCCTCCTCTTGCATGCCTCCTCGGGTTTTTTTTTTTTCCTCCTTCTTCACTCTTTTTTTCTATTAAAATTTTTTGTCTTTTTTTCCTGGTGGATGAAATATACAGGAGTGTCATAAGTGTAGGTGATATAAAGTATATCAGACTCATTAAATAATATATTGCAGAGAAAAAAGAATGTTGTTCAGTAACAGACATCTCTGTGAAAACAGCAGTTCTCACATACACTCAAGTTTTGAGATAATGTTTATTTTGCAACTGAATTTGTCCTGAAACAATTTCTATATTAGGGACCCATATGAGCATAATGTGAATTTTGTCTTTGCCTTTGAACATCAAACTGTACCGAAATGAACCAAGCTGGGTAGGAATACACAAAACTCACACACACAAATATCTTGGAACCTACCGAGTAGCACAGTTCACCGTGTGGTACTCCAGAGCAGCATGCCTTGCTCTGCTTCCGCACATGAGCTTCTCTATATAAAAAACTCATCCAACATCCTGAAAATGTCTAAGCCTCCTTGTTCCAAACTCCAGAGAGTGCGTGTGATAAGGAGAGTATTATTTATAGATGAAGACATTAAACAGAAATTGCTGAATCCTGCAGAAGTGACTCCTGGTAGTGCCAATAATGGCTGGTTTAGTGTTTTCAAGCACAACTACAATTTCCAAAGCATTGAGTGCAGATGAGAAAAATGAGAAAGCTGCAAACAAATCTCTAGTAGTGATGCAGAAGTTAATTGTGAATGAATTCTACCATATTAGATTAGATTTTCAATGTTGATGAAACAGATATTTATCATAAACATCAGCCTCCAAGGAGCTCTATCTCAACTGCAGAAAAACATACCTCAGGATTTTAGACTATGAAAGATTGCTTATCTTTGTCCTTGTCCGTGTTGTCAAGGACAACCAGGCACAATGAACCCCACCCATCCACTTGGGTGTCACAACTTTCTGTGTGGTTTCAGATGCTGCTTTTACGGCCATTTCCAGTAACACACAAGCTGAATGCGTCACAGTCTCCTCAAAACAACTTCAGGTCATTTTCAAGGTAAAGTACTATGGAGTCATTGTAAGATTTTCCTTTTATTAGCCATTTAACAGGTATAAAACAGTGCTAATGTTTTTATTAGGGTCTTATCTTTTTTTATTTAAAGATTTGTTTATTATGCATACAAGAGCTGGGGTGCAGGCCAGAGGTGTGGGAGTGAGAAGATTCACCAGAGACAGAGTGGGGATCAGAACAGGCAGATCTACTGAAATACACTGCTGAGGGGAGCAGTGGGAGAGACAGGCGAGGTCTGCTGTGCCATGTGGGTAGCTCCCTGGCGGGGATCGAACTCGTGCTATATAGTGGCTGTGGACAGTTTCATAGGTTGTGTCTTAACCCCTTGCGCCACCAGGGAGGTCTCCAGGGTCTTATCTTTTTTGAAGAGGACATTTAGAATTGTTCCTTAACCCCATTTACTTCCATCAACCTGTGGTGTTATTGAGTGTTTCTGTGTAGTATGGTGATTTTTAGGAACACGTACATCACATCAGAGCACAAGTGACTGAATTAAGAAGTGGTTTGTCAGCTGCATTATTTAATTAGGCTTAGTAATCTTGCCACATGGCCCTGAGTGACTCATGAAGTGTGGGGGAGGGCTGGGTTGGAAGAGTTTGAACCTGGGTTCCTATTCTGAGGAGTCTCACATTTATTTACTTGTTATTATTTTTAATGACACAGCTTTCCACACAGTCATAAAGATTCTTTCTTTTTAAATGTTGAAAAAAAAAAAAAAAACAAAACCCTGAGCTACTAATTAAGAGAGCCCTGGAGTTGGCAGAGTTGGAAGAAGACATCAGGGCAGGTGTCAAAAACTCTGACTAGGGAAGTGGGACCTACTGATAAAACCAACCCAGAGCAAACTGGGCAACCCCCCCAGAGTGACTGGAAATGTGGGCGGACTGTGAGGTAAAGCGAGCTGGTGCAGTCAGACAAGTTACAAGCCAGAGGAACAACACTTTTAAGGGGCTGGGATGAGGAGGAGTTGACTCAGCATCACAGTCCTCTAAACCAGTGTGTCATTTGATAGCCGGTGTTTGGTTTGTCAAGTCCACATTGCCTCAGGATTTCAGTCATCATTTTAGAGCTGCACAGCTGCTCCCCTTGGTCTACACAGCCCTTGTGAATGCATTAACATTTGTGAGAAATGTCCCAATTAAAGCCATCAAATCCATAATTGGAGGAAGCAGAGAGTGTGATTCATTTCACAGTGGCCGACTTGGGTAACACTAGCCTCTTTCTTCATTAGGGACCCAGTTATAAGAATCAGAGAGAAGCTGTGTAAGGCAGGAAGGGAAAATGGAGAATGGAATGGAATCTTGGTGCCCAGACTGGTTTATTCCCAGGAGGCTGATTAGAGACTCCAGGAAGGGATCCCAACTAAGTTCATCTTCAGGGCCCCGATCCCTGGGTTGTATAGTTGTTGGGGATTGGGTAGAGGCAGAGGGGATAACTTCCCAAAGTTATTGCTTGGTCAAATCCTTTTCACGTTCCTTGGGCTCCAGCCGCAACTCTGGTGTTTCCT